TGTCCGTCTTACATTCAAACTCTCCTGTGAGTATCAAATTTTCAAAGCCCTCTTTCCTTATTATGTTCTGTTTCTTAATCTTTTGCGATCCCAATGCGCCTTCGGATTTCAGTGTCGCACTTTCCATTCTCTCTTAATACGCTTCTCATATATCTCAATTGCTGCATCTGTTTGATTTCAGTTTCATGTTGGGCAGCTCAAAAGGCGGAAGAATTCTAGACTAGTCAACGGCCAGTTAACTAGAGGTGGTGTCTCAATAAATCACCGTGGAGAAGGCAACGTGAAACTACACTAAATCCCAAGAAAAATCATGTCTCTTAACAATCGAAATGTTAGAAATGATAATGGGCCGGGTAAATTTCAAAAGAATGACCCGTTTAATTCATGCCATCACGGTCACGAGAACCGTAACCCTTTACGGTCGTATGGGCAAAACACAAACTGCAGCCACAGTAGCAGTGGAATTTGACGTAGCCTAATCCTCTCAAGAATGGTTTTAAAATCCCACCCAATGCTATAAGACCCAGTCAGTCCTGATATTTACCCATAGCTGGCGGGAGAAGAGATGGTTTCTTACGAAAGTGAATGTAATGATTTCGACTGGAATTCGAACTTCTAACTCCGAGCCGTTATCCATTACTCTATTGGGCCTCCAGCAAACGCAAGAATCTTGAGACCTTAGAATTTTGAAGAATTATACTATGAAATCTCTTAAGGTGCGGATTAATTTTAAAATTATATAAAATTTAGATTTCTTATGAGTTGCAAAGGCCTTAGAATTAAGAGAAAACTTATATGATTAAACATCTGGAATTAATTATACCTTTAAAACGATTCCATATTAATTTATTATTGTATTAATTATCAAAACGTTTTGAATCTTTAAAAGTCTTTAAAAATTACGGTTGTGTAACCTATCTTCTAAGTAAAATTACTTTAAAGATGTAAAATAATTCCAAAATCTTTAAAAAAAAATTAATTAAAATATCCCTACAATAAACTAAATGTTTTAATTTTTGTGAGCAAAATATTAAAAAAAATGTGGAATAAAACCCGATAATATTCGCAAAAAATTAGCTGTTAGGATGGAACTTTTTTTTTTTTAATAAGCCTTGTTTCTGAGAATAATTGCGGCAACACTATTTTTGATACACAACAACAACAACAACAACAACAACAACATCAACAATAATAATAATAATAATAAGAAGAAGAAGAAGAAGAAGAAGAAGAACTAGACGGGAGTTGAGAAAAGGACACCTTCACAAGATTATTTTCAAACAATCCGAAGTGGGGCTTTGAAATCTGTGACAGTTTTGAAAAGTAATTGAGACAAACCACACAACGGTTGATTTAATCGCCATTCATCGCGATACTGTTCTTATCTGAGTCGTCAAAATAAAGAAGGTTAGTAGAATAAAAAACCTTCGCAGACGGTTGAGAAAAGTAAACGCGAGATTTTAAAATACTCCCCGATCCGCAGAGAAAACATACGAAAACCTAAAAACAGATAATTTTGAACTAAAAAAAAACACGTAACAAGATCAAAATTTCCTCAATAATACGAAGACAATTCAATCTCTTCATTTATAATTCAACAAGCCAGTAACTACTGAAAGGTTTACGCAAACGCAAATCATTCTTTAACTCCTTCCATTCAATAACCGGGCGCTATTGTATTGACATATATTAAACTCCGAATGATAACAAAATTCGACGACTCTACATTGTCTTTTCAATAAACCGGCTGAGCATGACGTGAATTTCGCACACACACACACACATTCTCTACTGATCCCTCTATATTATAAACATCTTTTATCTCCCAAGGTTAATTTCCTTAGCTGTTTAAAATATTTTAGAAGCTAATACACTTCCCTTTCTTTACCCATAAATTGCTCAGAATAATTTCTTTATTTCTGTTTCAATTTTACATTAACTAAAAATGTTTTAACGTAATTTTTTGAATGTTTGATATACCCATATCACTGGTGCTAACGGTGAACCCATAGCGAAGTCATCAACCTTGCTGCTCAAGAACATCATGTGCTTCAGTTAAAACGCGATCGACAGTACCTTAAATCATTGCTTTATTTAAATGCTTTTTGTCATCATATCTGTCTTTAAAAATACATTAAAAAAAGGTTTTTATTTATTTTTTCCAGTTGTTGTCAACTTATTTTTAGTTTTGCACTGGGAATTTTTTTAACAGAAGACGAAAAGTGCGACACGGAAATCCGAAGGCGGATTGAAATAGCCAAAGGTTCCTTCGAAAACTTAAGAAACAAGAAAACTTAAGAAACAGGAAAATTACGTTAGAAACAAAGAAATGAGGACTGAACTGTCACGTAATATAGATCCTCCTATATGGCAGTGAATACTGGATAATCTCCTCACAGATGAAGAAGAGACTTGACGCTATAAAAATGTGGTTCTACAGAAGGATGCTGAGAATTCTATGGACCGAACATTTAGAGAAAATGGAAACAAAAACAGACTTATACTTAATAGCGGAAACAGAAAATTGTAATTGCTAAGGCACATAATGAGGAGAGAGAGATTACAGAAAGAGGAAAACAATGCGTGGCTTGAGAGCTTGAGTAAATGGATGGTAGAACAAGGCTTAGGAGTGATATCAAATAGACAAAATTAAGAGCTACAAAGGACAGGAAATTGTGGAGAACCATGAACACCAACGTCCTGAAGGGATACGTCACAGAGAAGATCGTGTCACTGCTATTTAACATAATTAGATAATTTTATTTGTTAGAATTTCCATATAAATGTTCATTTTTGATCGTTATGAAGATTGCTCAAGGTTAGAATATTTGTTATTTAGACGCCATTTTACAGATGCGTTTTTCTTCTAATGTGAATGTTTGTCTTGCTGAAATTTTTATATTCCTCTTTGTCTTCTCTAAATTTCTTTTCGCTTGGCGTGCTGTTGCATAATCTACTGCTATTGCATTGTGGGTTTTTTTTCATTACCTAAGTAGATGCTTGTAGGAAGTGCACACGTAAAGTGGTTTGTTTTTTGGCTTTCTGAGGCTGAAAATTACATCTAGGAAGCACAAAACGGTGTACACGTAAAGAAGGCCGTTGATTATAACAGACATAAGCTGGGAAATAAGAAAAGCAACATCGGAAGATGACAACAATTCAAAAGAATATATACATTGACGAGAGGAGAAAATGGGAATATTCCCATTTCCAGTACAATATACGCTCGAGAATTTAAGGCCGCGGTTGATTACCAAATGAAGATACGAAAACAAATTCCTGCTACTCTACCCATAATCTCAATACGACTCATTAGTATTAAAACTAATAACGAATAGCTGAAGACTTATCAACTTTATTTTAAAAGACAGTCAATAAAGTAATACAAAAGTAATAAATTATACAAACATCAAATAAAATTTATATTCAATGTTCTCTTTATCTCTCTCTCTCTCTCTCTCTCTCTCTCTATATATATATATATATATATATATATATATATATATATATATATATATAATTTAATTTAAAAAGAAAAAACAGACCACTTTAAGGGTCCATTAGTTATAATTTATTTCACCAGAAAATTTTATTTTTCTCTCGATCTTCAGACTTCACTTTCAAAGGTGAAAAGTGAAGTCTCAAGATCCAAAGAAAAATAAAATTCCCAGTAGAAATAAATTATAAATAATGGAGCCTTAAAGTGGTCTGTGTTTCTTTAAATTAAATTAAATTATTTGCTCTGACTTAACATTGAGCTCTCAGGATTACATCCTCCTTAGGATTATCCATACGGATTACCAAGATTTTCCCTTTGATATATATATATATATATATATATATATATATATATATATATATATATATATATATATATATATATATATATATATATATATCAGTCCTCAAACACGATTAATGAACGGCGCATAAAAGGTATGATACGGTAAACCGCTATATATTATTACTATGCATGAAATTGTATATGGACAAATAAGTAAGCTTTTTATCACCCAATATGCACAGACATGAACAACGTGAACGCGCACGCACATGTATGCACTTAGACACACGCATACACAAACACAGACATACACAAAAACACAAGTGGGAGAGAGTCAGAGACATGCAACGTTGTTAGGGTTCAACATTCATGAACAAAACCTGGCACATTTGTTTTCGCGTATCTAATGGTGGTAGCTTCCCGATCATCGTACACACGCTGAGAATTAATTGGACAAAGCGGGCACAAGAACAAATCGATAAAATAACTATACTGATCAACACAGACTGCGTTTTATAATCTATCTATCTATTTCAATTTCATTATCTATCTATCTATCTCATTCCGTTCGTATCTATCTATCTATGACTTTTTATATCTATCTGTTCATATCTATCGGCCAATGGATCTTGATCTTTTCATACTTATCTATCTATTTATTTATATTTATCTTAGGCTATTAATATCTATCTATGCATCTATCTATCTATCTATCTATCTCACTCCTCATATCTATCTATCTATCTATCTATCTATCTATCTATCTCACTCCTCATATCTATCTATCTATCTATCTATCTATCTATCTATCTCCTCCTCATATCTATCTATCTATCTATCTATCTATCTATCTATCTATCTCCTTTTGCTTCTATCTTTCTCTTTATGGCTTTTCATATCTATCTGTTCATATCTATTGGTCTGCCAATGGATCTTGATCTTTTCATATTTATCTATCTATTTATTCATATTTATCTTAGGCCATAAATACCTATCTATCTATCTATCTATCTATCTATTTTCATGTCTATTTCAATCTGTTTATCTGATCATATCTATCTGCTAGCTAGCTAGCTAACTATTTATTTATGTCAGCCTGTTGACATCTATCTCAGTTTGATCATATCTATCTATCTAGCTAACTAACTAGCTATCTAGTTCATATTTATGGTATTCTTTTCATATCTATATATTTATCTATGGAAGTCAATATCTTTTATTTCGTCTTAAACAAAGAAAAACAAAACGCCTTTACTATATTCAGTTCACTTTTTAGGTCAGTAGCAATTGGCGAGGCGGGAGTAGGAATGTTATAAGCCCAAACCATTATTTCTGTGATTTAGCACGAGAATACTGATTATATATACATACATGCCGAGAGAGGAGGCACGGTGGAGTAATGGATAGCGGCTTGAATTGAGGAAGCGGAGAGCCGAGTTCGAATTCCAGTCGATTACATTACATTCACTTACGTGCTAATACACTTGGGAAAGATGTGAATCCTCTTCTTCTCCCTCCAGCTATGGGTAAATAGCAGGACAGACTGGGTTCTATAGCCTTGGATGGAAACTGGTCTAGAAGGAGGACAACTTTGAATGCAAAACCTGCGGAGGGTCCTTTGGGGACCTTTTGGCACTTGGTGCACCAGGTCTCTGTATTCGGCCCTTCAAAAAGTGTGGATGGTCCTGCACGAAATCTTCACCACTATAATCAAATCTCATATGTTGTTGTCGGGCTGTCGGTTTCTTGGGAACCGATCTGCTTGACCCTCATGCGTCGAATTCGACGGGAGAGTCGAGTATATATATATATATATTACATTATTTACATTGTTCGGACTATTGTCCTCATTTTTGTCGCCATATTTATTACAACGTTTCGGTTGTTGTACGCTCCAGCCTTCTTCAGGTGGTTGGAATGTCGAACTGAACCCTTTATTTCGCTCGCTGGGATACACTGTTTTAGTTCCACGTGCCATGTTTAACGGATGTCAGTTATCAGTTATCTCCTGTTAATTCCCCTCTCCAAGTTCTCCACCGCCTTAACCAGGTATTGAACTCACACTCTTTGGGTCCTGTCACTGGATCTAACCAACGCCTTTATCCACTGTGTCATGTGTCCTTGAGAACAGTCTACCCCAGTGAACGAAATAAAGGGTTCAGTTCGACATTCCAACCACCTGAAGAAGACCGGAGCGTAAAACGGCCGAAACGTTGTAATAAATATGGCGACAAAGATGAGGACAATAGTCGGAACAATGTAAATAATGTACATAATACCTCATCTCAGAAATATAGACAGATATATGTATTAATAATGAAATTATTGGTAATCCATATCTGCTGATTTTACAGGGGCTTGGTATATTACATTATTCTGCAAGCAATTGCCGTTTAAGAGTTATTCGTTGTTTACTCTGCAGTTTGATTTGTGCGGTTGTTGTTTTCCTGTTCTGTTTTTTTTTATTATTTGTACCATGTTCTCGGTGCAAATGTAGCTGATTTTTACTGTGTTTTTGTTGAATAATTTGTGGAGAATATTTGATAGCGGGAATTGTTTATGTATAAGTTTAATGAAAACCTTTTCTACTTGTGTTTTTACGTTATTATTGTTGTATGGTGGTTCGAAGCATATAATATTTCTTTTCCTCTTGGCTTTTTGTGCTGCGTAGTGTGTATGTGAGTGTTGCTGAAAATCTATCTTTTAGGCTGTTTCATAATCTTTCCTTGCTTCGTTAAAGCTGTTTCCCCGAAAGATTTGGCAGATAACCTAAGGTTAATATATTGTGGGATCTTCTTGATTATTGGTGGCTGGTGGCTGTATGGTGTTTATATATCATCCAAAATAACATGGAAAATAAGGAAAACCCCACCAGCCTACAACGATAAATGCTAAATCTGTAAACTATATCTTGAGTGGAAAATAGTTATAATCTTTCCAGACCAACACAAATTACAAAATAAACGGTCAAAACCATCTCAAAGGCAAACATGAAAACAAAATTTTTATTACGTTTCTTAAAAATCGAAAACTCAAAACGAACAAAAATAAATTAACTCAAATCACTAAATAAGTAAATAAACTTAGTAGATAATGAACAAATTAAAAAAACTACGAAAACACACATAAAGACACCTAAATGTAATCAACAATAAATAATAAAATAGCCTATAATAAGCAATGAGTAAAAAAGTTAACGAACAACACTTTAAACTAGCCACAAAACTGCAATCGGATCCACAATTATTTCCACTCAATAGCATTCAGAATAATTTGAAACATAACCGTTACCGCCCACCAAAATAACCGTTAGAATAATACAATAGACCTACCCATAATGCATCACTGACCAGCAAATTGTTCTCACTGTAGTAGACTGTTCTAGTTCCCTCTGAAAGTTCTCCACAGCCTTAACCGGTCATTGAACTCACACTCTTTGGGTCCTGTCACTGGATCTAACCAATGCCTTTATCCACTGTGCCATGTGTCCTTGAGGACATCTGGGTATGAATTTCTGGGTATTATAAACCTAATGTCTACAACAACCATTTTTACCAGTGCTCATATTGCAATTGTTGCTGCTATCATTGCTTTTCTCTGGCACTCCTTATTACTGGTTCCCATAAGACAGAGGGAGTCCACGTCACGTCGACGAGATCTTTTGTATGCAACTAACTATAAATACGGCGAGTACATCAATAATATAATAGCCGTAT